GAGAGTGTTAGAATCTCCGAGCTCTCTTTCCTCATTATATGTCCCAGTTATTTCAACTCTTTCAGATCCTAAGCAAAAATTTTTTTTCGTTCCCAATTTCCCTAAAACTTCCTCATCGTTCATATGTTTCATCCATGATAGTCTCAACATCCTTCTGTAGACCCACATTTCAGTTGCCTCAAGTCTCCTCTTCATCTGTGAGGAAATTACACAGCATTTACTGCCATATATGAGTAATGATATTGCATGGCAGTTGAGCATTTTTATCTTTACTCCCAACAATTTTTTTTTCTATTTCTTAATACTGTGCTTAATTTCTGGAAGGCACTTTCACTTTTTTCAATGCATCTGTCGTCTGTTATGACACATCACAGGTTGTAAAAAATTCTGGACTTGAATGATTTTGACGTCTCCAGATAGTGCGTCGTATTTTGGGATTATCCTTTTGCTAATGACTATATATTATGTCTTCTTACAACTAATAATTATTCCTTTATTCTTGCTTTCCTTTACTGTTCAGAGAAGTGTCTGGAAGTCTCGCTTTTCTTTACTTTTCAGGAAGTGTCAGATTACTGTTCAGGAAAGTGTCGTGGGGATATTTTTTCACAAGGTAGTAGTTATGGTGGAAAAAAACTATCTGAGTTCTTCATTACATTTGGAAAGAAGGAAATGAGAGTGATTCAGTTCTGTGGATGTAGCATAGCGTGTCCTTGCGGTAAAGGTCTGAACTGATGGAACTAAAGAATGGAGCTCATCTAAACACTTAGTATGGAAATAGCGATAAAGAGAAGAGACAAGCTTGCAATGTTATGCCTGTGGGGAAAAATGGTATAGAATAGGTTTCACATACATATCGGCCATGTGTAAAACATTGTCCAACCCCACAAATGCTGCTACACTGTTGTTCGCCTCATTACATTATTTCTGTAGTTTTGGGGTAGTTTTTTGGTTTTGTAATGAGGGGAGTCTAATCCAACCCTGGAATAGCACCTCTCTTGTTTCGCTTAAGAAGCTTGTTGGTGGAATATTGCAAAACTGTTCAAAAGCAGAAACATAGAAGTGAGACGGAAAACAGACACTACACTTTGATTCTCTATTTACTCGCACGGAGGCGAGATGTGACATAAAGTCCTATACTGGAGCCAAAGACAAAAATTGGCCAGTCCTCGCTACCACAGTCACGCTGGCATTGGCATCCACTAACACTTTTAGTTCAAGGGTTGGAATCCCTCGGACCTGACACCCATCGAAGTTTTTTCAGTGAACTACCTTAAAATTTAAACATGTTAGAGAGGTACTACACTTTGGACCCAGCCCAATGGCCGAGTAGCGTGCCCTCTGACAGTATTTATCTTGCTGATTTTAACACCTCCAAAATGAAACAATTCTCTGTTAATCGTCTAAAAGAACCCTTTTTTACCTTCCATCAGCATGACTGCTGCTAACCTCCAGGTGAGTGACCCATTGTGCCTTATTGGACTAACGTTATCCGCTGACATGTACAAAGATTATATTGACGCATTTGATAAGTCTGCTGCCAGGAAACTTGGTTTCCTTTTCATGCTAGAGAATTTTTTTCTCGAGAAAATCTATTTTACATAATTATAAATCTACCATTCGTCCTTGCTTTGAATATTGATGCCACATCTGGTCTAGAGTTCCTACTATATATTTAGAGATTCTTGATCAAATCTAAAAAGGAATCTGCAATATTATTGGCCCTGAGCTGGCATCTCGATTTCAGTCACTTTCTCACCGCTGTTTCCTTGTGCCTTTTCTATAAATACTTTCATTGTAATTGTTCTGATGAACTTTCCTCTGTGGTACCTACACATTATAAATAGTACCAGGTTGGCGGCAAGGTCTCATCGTTTTACATTTGGAATGACTAGATGTAACCGTAAGTTCTATGCTAACAGTTTCTTCTGTCGCACTTATTGCCTGTGGAACTTTCACCCGGCTTCTTACTTCCCAGTCAACTTTGATCTTCAAAAGTTTAAATACATTGTCAGTCGTTATCTTCTCTCTTCTTAAATCTTTTTTTTTTTTTTTTGTTCTCCTTCTTTAATAGTGTTTTCTTTCTTCTTTTATTATATTCTCTAACACTCAGTAATCACTTGTGTCTTAGTGGTTTTATTCCCTTGCTTGGGATGAAAGGATATTTCACTACGCTGGCAGGATGTGACACATGGTCGGTTTAAAGTGGATGCCCATACACATGAGCCAATGATAAAAATTGTTCAAACTCCGCCACTACTATCAAGTAGGCATAGGTATACACCAATTCTCTCTCTTTCTTTTTACAGTTGAAATAAGTTCGATTCTCTCGCGCTTCTCGCCTCTGGAACACTCTTCTCGTTTCTTGCTTCCTTGTCAGTTGCACTCGTCAAAAATTTAAATGCAACGAGAACCGCTAACTTGTCTTCATGAATCCTGTTCTTTTATTATTCTTTCTCCTCAATAAAGTTTTATTCTCTTTCACTCCCAGTAACCCCTTGCGTCTTAGTGGCATTATCACCTTACTTGGGATTACATGACTAACAAAATGATTGTATAAGACAGTAAATCAATATATGTAAACAAAAAAATAACGTTCGAGTTATTGTCAGGTTTTGTTTGGTTTGTTTGGTTTGTTTTGTTTTACGGCATATCAACCTCAATGGGTTATTTAATGCCAACAAAATTTTTTTGCTGGTAATATGTTTTCCTTCTGTTGTGGTAGGATCCACCTAATTTGCATAGTGGAGTACCGACCATATAAATATGGTTGGTACCGGGAAGAGAGGGAGGAATCAAAAGATTCAACCAGAGACTCTGCCCGACTGCGATTCAGTCAACACATTCTCCAGGAACGGTCTTACCAGGAAATATACAAAAGACTATATGTAAATATTGTGTACATTTTCTTGTTTCAATACATTTTGTTCTAAGTACATTTTGTGTTGCATTATTATTCCAGGCATTAGTCAAGTTTCAACACTCTCATAAATCTATTTTTGGTAATATTTTTTTCTTCAAAAATGTATTGCTGGCAATAATTTTATTAAAAAAGTATTTCTGGTATTAAAATCTTTTTTTAAATTTTCATAGTGTTTTGACCACAGTTTGGGGGTTAACTATTTGCCCATAGCTGGGACCCTAACACTACCACCCCGGGTCAGGGTGGACATGGGAACATTAGCAATTAAGAGGTGATTCCACGCTCCTCAAAGCCTCCTGATCAGAGGCCTTGCTATTGGACGTAGTTTATCGTCATACCCAGGATGGAGTTATTGTCAGGGTGTCGGGGTCTATAACATTGAAATTGAGAAAATCAGAATAGAATTTAATATCCCACTGCTTCAGAATCTGCTTGACACTGCAGATATTCTGCAAAAATTGATCTCTAAGGTCGTACAGTTGATGTTAATCAGCCACAATGCAAGATCAATGGTTGGAATCGAAAATCATGCGAAAGAAAATAATAATAATAATAATAATCTGCATTCGCCAGTTGACAAGCTCAAGAAATGCATTGACCTCCGGATTAAGGTTTTCAGAATATGGAACGTTCAGACTAATATTGTCCCAGTTTTCGTTGGGGCGTTGAGCGGGGAGCCGGGAGCGGGGAGCGGGGGGTCTATGCCATTGAAATTAAAGTCCTACATTGAGAAAATCGGAGAAAATCCTTCACAAGTTTGCGTTGCTTGACCCTGCAAATATTCTGAGAAAGGTGCTGTCTGTCTAAAGTCGCAGAACTTGGAGAGCATCCATAATGCAAGATCTCCGGCTGAAAACAAAAATCATGCAAGAAGGTAATAATAATAATAATAATAATAATAATAATAATAATAATAATAAGCAAAAATTGGGGGCGAATGCAACTAAAACGAAATTGATTCTCTTCACTCGGGTTGTGGCTTCTTTTGACAATTTGAAAATCATGAAGAATTTCCTCTTTCTTCATTTTTTATTCATTTATCCATACAGATTATTTTAATTGCATTTTTTTAAATTTCTTGTCAATTTCTTATTATTTTTGCTTTCAATTTCGTAATGACTTTCTTAACAGATAGCTTCACCACTTTTTTCATTATTTGACATTTGTGAATTCTCATAAAGCCGGAAAACTGTAAAGTCGAAATAATTTGAAAACAAAGATGAAAATGACTGTCAAATAACAAAGAAAAAAAGAAAAAAAAACATATATATATATGTAAAATAAAAATAGACGATGTGCAAATAAAATAAAGCGGTAACTCCCTAAAATTAAAAATAAACATAAAGAAGAACAGAAATTTTAAGAGGATGTGGGTTCAGATTTGGTGGAAGGGAAAGTAAATTTGTTAAAAGTGGAGCAGTTATAAGAACGATGAATTGATTTGTCATCTTAGCAATGAAATGAATTGTCTTTCAATTTGACCTGAAGCAAGTTTAAACTACTTCTCTATCAATTTTCATAAACAACAATAACAACAACAATAATAATAACAACAAAAAAGCAATTAAAATAACAAAAGAAGGCCAATTAGGTTAAAAGAATCTAATAAAAAGAAATATCAAACAAAAAAAAAAAGTTATAATTAGCAATTCTTGGCACGGGTAATTATTGTACAAATTGATTGAAATGTCGAAAGAGCAAAATTTCGCTCGCTTATTCAATGTTTTCATTTTTTTTTTATTTATATATATAATTTGTTCCTCCTTTTTATGATATTTTTCATTTTTCCTTACGTTTCCTTTCAGCTTTCTAATTTACCCATGCACACAGGTATAAACAAATCTAGTCAAGGTTGAAAGTTGTAACGAGGAGGAATAACTAGCGAAGATGATGTTTTCACTCCGCCATTTTTAAGTGTTCTTCGAAGATTTGACAGGAATTTGTGGCATTATCATATGATTTGTGTATGTATATTCACGCTAAAATGAGCTTTTTACATATCATCTTTAATTTTACTAAATCATCCATTTGTAAACATTCATATTCATGCACTAAATTTTCATCTATCTTATATGTCCGTATGCATCTATTTCAGTCTATTCATATCTATCTATCTATCTATTTATCGTTTATCCGTTATGCGATGGTGGGCTGAAAATTTGATAGGCTGACTATAAAGGAGTGACATTAGAGCTGTAAAATCTTGCATGCATTAATTCAACTCATCTTATTAATAACACCAATATTTCACAGTTCTATCATCACGCCTTCATAGTCAGTCTATGAACTTTTCAGCCTATCCTCGTATATCTATCTATCTATCTATCTATCTATCTATCTATCTATCTATCTATCTATGTCATTACCGTCATTATCTATCTATCTTTCTATCTATCTATCTCATTACCATTATCTATCTATCTATCTTTCTATGTCATTACCGTCATTATCTATCTATCTATCTATCTATCTCATTACCGTCATTATCTATCTATCTATCTATCTATCTCTATCTATCTTTTACGTCATTATCTATCTATCTATCTATCTATCTCATTACCGTCATTATCTATCTATCTATCTATCTCATTACCGTCATTATCTATCTATCTATCTCATTACCGTCATTATCTATCTATCTATCTATCTATCTATCTATCTATCTATCTATCTCGGTCCGTCCGTACCTATCTATATATCTATCACAACAAAT